GTAAAGTTAAGTCTATAAATCGGGATAGTGGTTTAGGGAATTTTTACTAATTTATTCTTTTTTAGTGTAAGTAGACTTTTTTGCTTTTGGTTAAGATAATCTATAAATCAGGATGGTAGTTTTTTCAGATTTTTACTAATTTATTTCTTTTTTTTATTAGGATTGGATTTTTCTTGCTTATTTGCTAAGATATGCTACAAATAAGAACTCTTTTTTTGTTGTTTTTTGGATTTTTACTAATTTTTTTTTCTTTTTTGGTGAATGTGAACTTTTTTGCTATTGGTTAAATAAGTTTACAAATCGGGATGGTAGTTTTTTTAGATTTTACTAATTATTTTCTTCTTTTTATAGGGATGGACTTTTCTTGCTTATTGGCTAAGTTAAATCTACAAATCGGAACTCTTTTAGTGATTTTTTTTCAGGTTTTTACTAATTTTTTTCTTTCTTTAATAAGAGTGATTTTTTTTCTTATCAAATATAGCAAATAATTAAATTTAATAAATTTATAACAATCAGAAGCTTATTATTTATATATATACTTTTCTTATAATTAAAGTATTATATTAATGCAAATCATATTAATAATAAATTTCTTTTTATTGTAATTAATCGGGATTACTTACTTATATAAAATAAACGATTATAAAATTACCTGTATTATAAAAATTTAATAAAATATTACCAATCGGGATATGCTATTTATATAATATGTAACAATAGAAATATCCTTATAGATGATTTAGGAATAATCTGATTGGGAACTAGATGTTGATAAATTGATATTAATAAGAATAACCCTATTGATACTTTTATAACATCCTGATTAGAATCTTATTGTATCCTTTCTGTGCCATTATTTATTATCAATCGGAATCACCTGATTCTAAAAAAACAAAAAATAGGAGACCAATCAGGTCAAATCTAACAACCCAGATTTGATCTGATTGGTTTCCTATTTGTCATTGTTCGACTAATGATAATCATATTATATGAAATGTTAAATTTTCTTTTAGGAGAATGAAAATATATGGCTACTATATTTTTGTTTATTTTGTAATAGTAACAAAGAATATAGATATAATATGAATAAAATATGACTTAATGGTGAAAATAAAATGGTAAAAATTATATAATTTTATTTAATATAAAATAATTTTATTAATTTAATTTTATTATTATTACTAATGATTAAAATACAAAATTAGATTTCTAATTAATTACATATTTTATTATGAATTACTGATATACTTTTAGAATGTTTTTTTTAATGAAATTACTATAAAGAAAAATTTTAAAATGAAATTTTAAATATAGTTAAACAGATTATGAAGAATATCAAAGTACACTTTGAATTTTTTGCATCAAAACTTCAAATGGAAAGTGAATTTAGGAATCATTAATAGGTTCAGCAAGAAAAAATAATTCTAGAAAAATTTCCAGTTAGTGCATTTATTTCAAGAGAGTGAGAACAAAGAATTGAAGAATTATGACATGAATTTTATAGATTATATTGTATAATAAGAAAAGTATATTATACATTTGATGAAATTAATGAATTTGAAAAAGATGCTAAAAATTGGATTAAACTTTTTTGTCACGCAACAATTTTTAACAAAAATAAATAATTCAAGAAGTTATTTATCATTCTACAGATATTACACCAAATATGCATGTTTTTGCACAGCATATATCTCAATTTATGTGTGATTTCAAATAACACTAATTATCATTAAAACATTTTACAACTTCTAGTCTTATGAACAGGTAATATTTATTAAGTTATTTTTTAAATAAATCAATTTATTAAATATTTTTTATATTTATAGATAAAATTATTTGTTGGTCATACTGTAATGGGTGGAGGTAATCTTAACGAACCAGTAGTTTATGATATTATGGTTTATGAAACACGGCAATTATATTATTTATTCATAATACACCTATTTTTTTCAACAAAAAATTCGTGTTATTAATAATGAAAATGAAAATACATAATAAAGATAAATCAAATATGATTTACTAATTCATTGTTTAATTGATTTATTTTATTTAAATGTTATATATATATTACATTTTTGAAAAAGGTTCTAAAAGTTTAAGTAAATAGTACGAAAACATGTATGTTACAAAGCAGAAATAGTAGAAATAATAGGAAAAGTAGGAGTAGGAGTAGGAGTAAGATACATAGAATAATTAAATTCTAATGGTAAACCGAATGCATTATTAGTTTTGGATTGTAAAATTGAAACGGAACATTTATCTGTTAAGCTAATATATAAATACAATATAAATATAAGTAATATATTAAAAAATATCAAATATTTATTTATATTACTTTTACCATTCAATAAAATCACCTGAAGCAATATAAAATTCACTTAAAAGAGATCCACATAAAAATTCGCGAGAGGTTATTTTCACGCCAGCCATAAAAATTTGATTTTATGTTGTCCATTCATATTATTCAAGCAAATATATCGTCCATTGTTATGATTTTGTATCCCAATTAGAATAATAATTTAAAAGTAAACCCAATCTTTGCTCACCTTCTACTCCTTCAAAGTAGCATTGATATTTCTGTTGCAAAGAATTATAATTAAATGTTATTTCATTTTTAAACAGATAAACAAAAATATGTTCAGGGAATAAATCTATATGATGAAATGATGACCTATACTTGTTCGGTTATATCCTAGTCGTTTGTAAATAAGAAAAATAATTCCATCTCGGCATTTGTCCAGTCCTATGTTAGACGTAGTTGGAAATGTATTATAGTATTGTATTATTTTATTATCATGATGTGAAGTACGCATATGTGCCTGAATGGCTTTTTTCGATACACAAGTAGTTGAACAAAGTGAACATATAAATGGATTAGCTCTTGGCATTTGGATTGAAAGATAAAGTCGTGTGTTATCAATTATCCAATTATTAAATAGTAAATACGAATTGGGCACAGATCGTCAAATCATAACAACCTAAATGTCACATGTGATATAAATGAAGTGAGCAATATCCGCCCATACGTCATTGAAAATTATTTAAATATTTTTTTATAACTTATCTAAACAATATCTTTAAAAAAATAAATGGATGAAAATGAAGCTTAAGTTTTATTAAAATCGTAATCAGATAAATTAATAATTTATTATAAATGTTCTAATTGTCATCAACCATTCACTGATAAATTATGTAATGAAAGTGATCCATGTAGCATAATTAAGGATGACTAATGTGCATAATGCTAGTTGACATATGGGTCATAAGCTATTAAAATTAGGTTACGAGACATAGTAAATCATATGATCTTAACATAAGTTTTAATAGCAAACCTCCCATATTATTGAACATGAATAAATCAAATTAAACAGACATGAAACGTTCTTCAAGCAAGGATGCTAACAATGTATGGCTCCAGTGTTTTTTTTTTGAGTCCCCCTGCAAATGAGCATTATAGCAGGAAAAAGCAAGTATAAGTATTAGATATACAATAATTAAATATATAATTACACAACGCAGTCATTAAGCTATCAAAAAAATTATCTACTTAACTTCATATATGTTTGTGCTGATTAAATTATTTAAAGCTTGCCGATAATAAATGGTAGTTCAGAAAAACGTGGAGTGTCGTAATTACAATTTTCCCAGTACTGATTGTATCTGCGCGCGAACTCGTTTTTTCATTATGCAATCGTAATAAAGCTTCAGATACATCTAATCTACGCCTTTCAAACCATTTGAAAAAAAACACTCTTGGTTGACTTCTTTAATGTATCAGAATTTCCACCTTGTATAGTGTAAGTCATTATTCAGTTTCGTAAGAAGAACAAGAAGAAATAAGAAAAAGTCCATTTACATTAAATATTTTTAATACTATACTGTTTTCAAATATCGAAAATATGGATAGCTCTGAGATTTTTTATTTGGAAGCATTGATAAGCCAATTTTATTATTTAATGTTTTATAATTTTTTTTTTAAAAATAAAAGTTTTCAACAAGGTGAATTAAACTATAATATTTATAAAATACGATCATTTTTAATTCAGCTAGTTAAAACAAATAATCGTACTTCTTCAATTGTTAAGGTAGTCTTGAATTATGCTTTTCAAATTTTCCAACTACTTTTTCAGCTATACTATATAAATACTGGAAATATACAACAATTAATGATACGAACGCTGATATATCAATATATTTTTTAAATTAAGAGATAACTTACATAATTAATTATTTTGAAGAGATTATTCAAATATTAAATGTTAAATTGCGAAGTAAAACCTTAATATTCGTTGGTATATCTTTCTTTTGGCATGGTACCTATAATAGTAGATCGTTGACCATATTTTGAAAGTCAAACCGAAACGTAGGTTTGCTTTAATGATCTTTGCCCATATCAGTTTCGGTTAATTGACCATTTAAAGGATTCTAATCATTTTGGTTGTTTGCTATTAAAATTGAGGTACGAGATATAGTAAATCATATGAACTGTAACTCAATTTAATAGCAAATACCCATTTGTCATCATTAATAATACTTTGTCATTTGGTCATTCAGTTAATCGATTTAATTGGCTAAGGCTGTAATAAACGCGAAATATAAAAAAAAACTGTAATATAGGCCAAAATTTTAGTGCTTTCCAATATTTTCAACCTGATATTAAATTTAATACATGAAATCTTTGTATTTATCGGGATCAAATAAGGTTAAAGAATCGTTATTTTTTCATGGATAATCTAGGTAAATATTATCTAGTCGGCTGAAACATTGTGTGAAAACTTATCTTTCAATTTTTGTCGCTTGGCCGATCGTTGACGTTACCGAAATGAAATAAAAAATGACTTCAACAATTAATTGACGTGTATCATTTCGAATAATTTTTATTTTCCAATGAAATATAATCCTAGTGCTTCATACAAACTATGATGTCTAATTTTTGTTGTTATTTTTTATTTTTATTTTTTTATCAAAATTGAATTCATCATCCAATGTTTATTTCAATATTACCCTTTAATAATTTCAAAAATCTCCATTTCTTCGAAATTAAAACTAATTATATCTAAAGTTCTACGTTTATAATCTCTATTATTACAAGTACCACACTTATGATGATGATTAATTACTAAGTCATCACCAAAACCAAATACGTAACTCGACTGATATATTGCTTTACTTCTATTTATAACTCGACTAATCTTAAAATCTCTTTTAAAAGAAAAAATAAAACTCTCATTAGTAGAATCCCATTGGTAAAAAAAGCCACCATCATTGGAAATATTATATTTCCAACCAAGAGGATTAAAGCCACCAAGTATAGTTTCATTATCTCTGATTTTAATAATCAAAATAGACGCCCTCTGTCCCCCTTCACATAAACTACTTACAGGAATGAAATCATAACCATCTCTACTTCCACGATAAATAAGTTTAAAGCTATATTTACTATCGTTGAGGATTTTTGCATTAGCACTTTTGTTTTGAATCCAGTTATTTAGGATGGCCGCATGCCTTAAATTGATTACTGTTGAATCAATAGTAATCCTTCCATGACGAGGAGCTAATATAATTTGGTTAGGTAGACTATTTGACATCTGAAATGACAAAATTTCTTCAACTAATGCTTCTGGTAATACTTTCTTAAAAGGCATAATCTTATTATAAAAACATTTTGAAGGAATTTCAAAGAATCGAATGTTCGTGATAACTTGATTCAAAGAATTTTTCAATGATACGAAATCTTCCTCATTCCAACTATCTAAATCAGTCACGTCTTTCTCGTTCAATTCCGAAGTTTGAGCAATTCCCCATTTGACAAGGTAATTCCATAATTCTATTTCATCAATTTGAATATCTTCTCTCTTGATTAATTCAAGCAGAATTCTTTCTTCTAATTTTAGAAAATCTGACAAATTAAATAAAGTTTCAGGCATTCTACAAATATAGTTGAAACAATATTCCTGAAGTTGTTTAAAACTTTCTACTTGGAATATTGCGTGAAGGACTTTAACAAAATTTTGTTGTAACCATTCGCTTTGCTTTGCAATCAAATGATCTTGTATGAAAATAATCAACTCTTCAAAAAGTAATTCATCGGCTGCTATTAGAAAATCAAAGATATCCGAGACATCTCGTTTGTCAAAATCAAGAATACCAGCATATAAATATCTAAAAAAAAAAATTAAGTTCATTTATAATAACGAAAAATATTAAAAAGGTATCTTATTGGTTAAAGAACTATAGTTACGTAAGAAATAAATCCTTACAAAATAATCATATCAAATATTCTAGGTGAAATATTTGGTTTCTCAAAGTAAACTAGATTATTTTTCTTCATGATCCAATTGTGAGAAAAAGCTCTTCTAAAGTATAGTGATCGAGCTTTCAAGATGATAGAATGTACACGAAATTCTTTTGTATTTCGATTCTCTCCAACATTAATGATAACATCATAATCTTCTGCATTTTCAAGTAACTGAAAATAATTTTGAGACAATCCAGGAAAAAATTTAAAGACCATAAATAAAAATTTTCACTGAAAGGAATGCCGATCGTTTTCAATATGGTATGGTTTTACTAAAAATATCACGTGATAAATCGACTGCGATATCACACCATTATCGTACAAGCATATACCCCAGATGATTTTTTAAAAAAAGTGTTTATTTCATAAATTACATTTGAGCCAATTTCGGATGCTAATTAATTCTTTTAATTAATTAATTATCATTTCCTTCTTACAGACTTCAATTTCCTTCATTTGTAAATCGTCTTTTAATGATTGATATTAAAGACAAATCAAGTGACTTAAATACTTTATCAGGTGAGTAAATCAATTCGGTGAAATATTTGACAATTTAAAATATGATGAAGTATTATCATTACTCGTCGCAAATGTGGAGAACGGGAGAGAGATATTTTACAGAAATTATTTTATAACAACTAATGCCATATTTACAGATTAGAAATTTTAAATCGCTTTTTATAATCATATAAAAATTTATTTTTATTTGAGTGCTGGAGCGTTTCATCATTAGTATTCTCATTATTAACAACGGCACGCGAAAATCAATGTTGAGGCAAGATATTATCAAGGTAAAAATATTCACGAATTACAATCAAATAGTGAGGAAGAAAAATTCAAAACTGCTAATAATGTATTTAATGAAACAAAATTAAGTTATGAAATGCATTTATGGCAAAATGAAGCTGATTCAAAAAAATCTATTGCCTTGTTTATTGTTGTTAAGGCTTTTGAATTGGTAACAATGATGAACTTGAAGATTTATTCCTATTTATTATTAACAAAATATATATATTTTTTTTTTTTGGTTCTACAATTCTCCTTCAAAAAAAGGATAGCACTTTTTAAAAATTCTTTGAAAATTTTTTTTTATTTAATAAAATATTTCTAATTATTTTTTTTTTTTACAATAATTTAGAAAAAAATGGAAAAAAATTTTAAGGGCACAAAAATAAATATTGTTATATTAAAATTCTGAAAACGTAGTTAAGTTATGTGTTGAAATATTAAAAATTCAGGACTGATATACATTAAGGAATTTGGTAAATTTGGTAAACGAGATATTTGAGTATTATCACAACAGAGTTTAGTTATGGAGTTAGGTAGAGTTGGTAAGCTAGATATTTTAGTACTGTAACAATAGAGTTCGGTTAAAGAGTTTGGCAGAGTTGGTAAGCTAGTTATTTCTGTTTCGGAACAGTCAAGATAAGTTAAGGAGTTAGGTAGAGTTGGCATGCTAGTTATTCGAGTATCATAACAGTGAAGGACTTTTAAAGAATTGGGTAAAATTGGTAGGCTAGTTATTTTAGTATAATTGCACCAGAGCTCTTTTAAGGAATTAGGTAAAATGGGTAAACAAGTAATTGAAGTGCCAGTGCAATAAAGTCCAATTAAGGAGTCGGGTAAGGTTGGTAATTTAGTTATTTTGGTAAAATAACAACAGAGTTCCGATAAGTAGTTAGGTAAGGTTGGTAAGCTAGTTATTGGAGTATCTGAGCAGTTAAGATGGGTTAAGGAATTAGGTAAAGTGGGCAAGCTATATAATGGAATATTATTGCACTGTAGATTTGTTAATTTTCGATATCTTTGTAATCCTCCTGAGATGTTTAATATGTCATCCATATTTGCAGCTGTGATAGTTAAATGAGTGGAAATATCATCATAAATTATATATGATATTTCATCATTTGGTATTGCATTCATCTGATCAAAATTTTGAATCATTTGAGATAACTCTCCATGAAATGAATGACTAATACTGTTATTAATCGAACGAAGATCTTGATGTCCTGATAATAAAAGACTTGATTCACTCTTATTTATTTGATCTTTTTCTGTTATCATGTTTCTTTTAGTAATCATCGCATTCAATTTATCAGCTACTTGATTCATATCAGGTCGTTTATCTGGCTCATTATCCCAGCATTCTAACAACATATAAAATAATTTAATAATCAAACACTTATTATAAAAAATTTATAACATCAATAAAAATATATCTACCAGTATAAATATTTACATAATCATCAGGTGTGCCAGGAATGAACTCTTCTCGAAGACCTTGTGAAATTTCGATAGCTAAACTAACGTCATATGGTTCATTTTCAACATGAAAAGGAGGTCGACCGCTTGAGATCTCCCATAAGAGCACGCCCACACTGTAAACATCACTCTTTTTATTTAGTGTGTACTGTTGTGATTGATTATTATTCCTTCTTCGTTGTTTAGTAAAGTTTTTTGGATCAATGTAAGGAATAACTCCAAACATTTTTGATTGTTGTTTAGTTGCAGCTTCAATTCTTTTCGATAAACCAAAATCCGCTAGTTTAATATTTCCTTGATGAATTAATACATTGCTGGAATGCTATTATATAAAAAAAATAATTTTTTTTAATTAATTAAACAGAAATACTCATAATAAGCCAAATAAATATATATTGTAAAGTAAAGTCTACCAAATCACGATGTACAATTCCCTCATCGTGTAAGCAAGATACAGCACAAGCCAATTGGAATGCCATTTTATATTTATCCCCCCAAGAAAGATTATCAAAATTTTTCCTCAAATAGTTTCCAAGTGCGCCGCCATCGGCATATTCCATTACGATCCAATACTTTTTTATTTGATTTTCCTGATTTTCTATATTTTTTTTTATTATTTTTTTTTTAAAAAAAAAAAATTATTAAAATAAATGTAAGAATTCAAAACAAATCTTTAATCAGTTCCATCATGAACATATATCTTATTTATACCTTGGTTTGAAGTTGAAATCCCACAAAAGCGGATAATGTTGCTATGAAAATCAACTTCACGTTGTAGTTCAAGCTAAAAATTTTCATAATTAACAAAACTTTTAGATTGATATCTAAATTATTACAATACATATCATATTTTGTAATTACCTCACGAACAAGTTCTTTAATGGTGGCATCGTTAAAGTTATGAAATGATTTTAAAGCGAGACATTGAATTGAATTTTTCCAATTTGCACGATATACCTTTCCAAAGCTACCAGTACCAATCTCTTGAACATTGTTAAAATGGTTGTACTCGTAGTATTTAATATGTTTTTTTGAAATGGATTCTTCAATCCAATCAATCCATTCATTTGAATTATTGACGTTTTGCATTTTTTTTTTTTTAAGTCGTGAAATTAAAAAATTCTTAAAAAGTTCTTGGAAAAAAAGAGCCACTTTTGTAAGTCGTGTAACATATAAGCCACCAGAGATACAGTAAATATTAATCGGCAAAAATTGATTACACAAAATCGATCAGATATTGGGCGCGCGCGCTATATGCGCTATATGAAGCTTTGGAAAACTACCACTTTTACATGAAATAATTCCCCCGACAAAAGATATTAAATTTGGGAAAAACCTATTGGACAACCAAGTTTCAGAGTGGTCTCAACAGGTATTTGAAAGGTGACCCTTTTTTTTGTTTTTGAGACGAGTCCCTACTTCAAAGCAACTAAAAAAACCTTTCTTCGTGTTGCGATACAAAAGTATGTTGACTATAAAAAGTTGAAAAAACGCTTGAGCCCGCTTATAAGGTTAGTTAGAAATTATTCGATATCACGATACACAAAAAAAGAAATAATTTAAACAAGATTTTTTCCGTGATAAAAAAGTCAATACCGTAAATATTCGATGCTCACAACTGCCGCCGAAAAATCATTTTTCGAAATTTTAAAAGAGTAAGTAGATAAAGTTGAACTTTTCTACTTGGAATTGTTTAGTAAGTTGAATTGCAAATTAAGACATTTTTAAGCATTTGAATTAAAAATTAAAAAAAAAATTTTAACAAAAAAATTCATCCGCAGTACCCACCTTCCATTTTAGTCAAAAATTACATTAACTTATAAAAAGCTTGGAATTAGTTAAAACCAATTTCATCCCGTTAAACAAGTTGGCGATTAAACAAATTTGTAAAAAACATGCAAAGTATGTTGGTGGTGTCAGAAGTTCTGTTGATGCGGGTTACCGTCTTAAAAACCATACAAGAAGAGAGAGCTTGGTGGAGAAGCAAAGGTGAGTTTTTAAAATGAAACGTGCTTTGATTTTGAACCATAAATATGATGATGTAATTTTAAATAACCAATTATTTGATGACGTTATTAAATGATGAAGCTTATTTGGCTGAGTGCTGGGAAAATGGACCAATTTGATTTTTTTTTTAAAAAAAAGTTCCTAAGTAAAATAGATGTAGATTTGGTCATCTGATTCAGATCATTTGTTATTTCAAAAAAAAAATTTTTGTCGATTTGGTCCTTTTTCCCAGCACTCACCCCATTTGATTAAATGGGATAATTTGCCGGAAAGTTATAATAGCTGGGAAAATGCGCAAACGATGTAAGTTTAATATTTGGACTTTTTGTTTATTTTTATTTTTATTTTTTTTTTATGCTGAAAAAGTTTGTTAATTTAGAAATGATATCGTAATGTTATGGAACGAATGGAAAAGGAAAAGGGATCACTTGAACATCCATAACGTGGTGAAAAGAAAATTTTTTATGTATTTTATTAAAGATGGAATTTATTTTAATCCAATATTCTTTTGTCCATTGTGATACTTACATTTATTTTTTTGTTTTAATAAAAAAAAGATGGGACATTCAGAGAAAAACGATTGGCTTAAATCACAGCAAAAAAAGTCAAAAAAAAAAAAATATCGTTTATAGTAGCAACGATCGGCATCATTGTATTATTAGGTTATGCATATACAGTATAAACAAAAATAAAGGCAAAATTAATGGTGGTAATAATATAGATATTTCCAATAAACCAAATGATGATAAAAAATCAGGGGACCCAACTGGTGTACGAATACTCTTGGGGATATTATTGAGGATGCTAAGTTGATTTCTCAACTAACTAATAGGATCATATTATATGGTATGGACTGTCATATGTCCGATTGGACCCTTGAAGCCATCAAATTGTTATAATTAGACATAACCATTGTCCCCACCATTTGGGTTGATGATAATGATACAACTTATCAACGTTAACATGACACTTTAATTGATATAGTGAAAAAATATGGGTAGATAATATTGATGTGGTATCAGTGGGTAACGAAGCTCTCTTTCGTAAAGAGATCACACCTTTAAAATTATTCGGAAGAATGGCTGATGTACGACAAGAAATCAATTCAATGGGATTTAAAAAAAAGGTTCTCGTATTTACATCGGATTTAGGTTCAAACGTTGATGCCGCCTATGTGGCTGCAAATAATATCATGTGGGCAAACTTTCATCCTTATTTTAGTGGTGTACCCGTTGAATAAGCTAGTCAATGGACATTTGAATTTTTCGATGAAAAATGATGTGAAACCTGCCAAAGCTGTTGGAAAAGATGCCATTATATCCGAAGTAGGATGACCAACCGCTGGCGCTTCTGAAAGTGCCTCTGTTGCCTCCATACCTAATTTCCCAAATTTTCTTAAATAATTTTATTTGCGATGCTAATAAATTTAAATCCAAATATTATTATTTTGAAACTTTTGATACTCCTTGGAAAGAAAAGTTATCAAAGGAGAAAATAACCTCCATCGAAAACTAAAAAAAAAAATTAAATGAATTATACATGCATAAGTTAAAGAAAATAAAAGTACGCAACTTTCGAAGCTAGAAAAAAATATCGACTTACCAGAAACCCGCGACAGCGAAAGTAGAAAAGTCCTAAAAGAAAGAAAAGTGGCAAGATTTTATCGAAATCGTACGATTGATGCCTCTTTGGGACTAATAAGATCAAATATATTTTACATATCCTTCATATATAACTAATAATAAATTGATTTTAATAAGAATTCTACGTAATTTGCACCTAACTATTACTTAATTTTCTTTACAAATTATGTGAAAATATTCGTCAGTACCTATCTTCTTTTTTTTTCCAAAAGATAAAACAATTCAATAAAATAATTGTTTAATAATTCTCAGCATTAAAAAATTTTTAAATGTTAATAAAATACTATAAAATTTTTCGGATAGCAGGAAGTAAATGAATTGAAAAATGACTAACAAAAGAAAAAATTGATGGAATAATCAATGAAATTATTATGGTAGTTCTTTTTTAAATTTATCAATCATAATATAACATTAGTAAAACCACTTCAAAAGCCTAACTAAATTTCCGTGAAAATTCCTAATGCTATTTGAATACACCGACTTAGCATCTGCCTTCTATCATAAAAGATTAAAAGTAACGTCAATAATTTATCGAAAAAATTGACCAAATTAGGTTTGAAAATATTTGAAAATCAAAAAACAATTTTTTTTATTTATAAAAAAATAAAAAACATTTTATACACATGCATAAGGCATAAGGCATAATGCATATAATATGCTATTGAAATTGTCTAAACCTCATCTATAACCAAAAGTTGAACATGTTGGTTTAGTTCAATTAGTGACAATAAAAAGTAAAAAATAATTAGACCTTCTTTTTATTGCTATTCAACTTATTTAATACTATAGTTGCCTGACGAAAACTAAATATAGTTTCGACTTTTTGATATAGCTTGGCAGGTTTCGACGGGTTTCGACAAGTTTCGACAGGTTAGTTTATATGATTTTATTATTGTTTTGACACTTTAGACATTCGACAGTCTGTCTAAACCCAGGAGTTTCGTCAGGCAACTATATTTAATACACCGCTCGATTTCATAATTCGTCAAAAAAAAAAAAAAAAAAAGATTGTTATAAAGTGTCTATTTTATTACAAAAAAGTAAATAAATAGAAATTGCCACGATTGACCAAATTGCATTCATCATTTAATTCGAAAGAAACATTTCAGCTGACAAATGATTATGATTCGTTTTAAATAAATGAGTACGGTAAATTTTAATTATTTGAAATGAATGCAATTATGGTAATTAAATGATTTAACGAATAAATTCATTCGACAGTTTATAAAATAAAAAGCTAATAAACAATAATAATTCGAGCAAGCTAAATAACGTAGTAAAACTTCCCAATTGCCTTCTTTTATATAACTGGATTAGTGATAATTGGATTACCTTATAAAATTCTTTATTTTTAAAGGATATATGAAAAAAATCACGAAGCACGAAGATTAGGGGAGTAACTAGATGAACTTCCATATGCTTTTTTTCAGGTATAATGTATTATTTTTTGTGGGAATTAAATATAACTTATCTCGTCAGATTGAACTTAACCGTCTTGACGTAAGAAATATTGTATTCTGCAAATTTTACAGTTTAAATAATCACGAACGTATCCTTCGTAGTATTTGCATCGAAGTATGAAGGTCGAAATACTACAGTTCAGTATTATAGTATTCCGCATAAAATTACTAATGAATTAATTAATTTTTTGCAAGTAATAAAAAATTAATCTACAACGTCTTTCTTGTCGTGTCGTTTAAATGTATACAATATATTAACTATGATTTTTAAAGTTTAAACCTTTAAATATTTGATTATGCTGACAAATTTAAAAACAAATTATTTCAACTAAATAAAATGCTGGAAAACTCCGAGCATAACGTAAAATAATCTTTGCAATAAATAAAGCGTAGACTTGAGACGGTCTCGTGACTATAAAATACTGCGGGTGCACTGATTTACGCAATAAAGATTCTAAATAATTTGCGGGATATTGATCAAAAATTATTAAATTTCATTCTATTTACCAATATGTAATAAAGTCAAGTCAAATGTTTTGCATTATAATATACTGTAATCCAAATGATGATGATGAGATTACAAATAGAGTCAGTGTTTTCGTTTACTGACCAACCGCGAAAAATATTTTCAAATTTCAAAATATAAAATTTAAGGAAATATACAGTTTGATGGTGTCAATTTTAAAAAGCATAGTTGAAGATTTCTATTGGTAACATAGCCCATTCATTAATCCAGTAATTATGCAGCCTTTAATGCAGAAAGAATTAATGTGCAGTGTAACGGAATAATCTCATTAAAAAAGTTGTAATTGTTAATATATCTGGACAATATCTAATTATTGAATGCAGAAACCACATAACTCTCTCTTTTCTTATAAATAGTGTCTTTATAATACTAGACAAAATTGGCGTGGAGTTGTAAAAATTATTACGACTCGCCTATCCATCAAGACCGCTTCCAATACCGCACTTATTTGAAAAATTATTCGTCAACTGGAAACACTCGTGTAACAGGGCATTAAACATGGCTGATATGACTGCTAAGACAGTTAACAGCGAGATACAAAAATATGTACGATATGAAAGTGACTATAGTTGGTTTTTAGACAATGACTGTGAAACTCATGGAACTTCATGCCCTCCTCCTAATACGAATTCGCATATTGAAACGGTATACTGCTATCTTGAAAAGAATATGAATATGGTTGATGGATTTATCAACAATTACTTCAGTTCGTTTGATGAGGATTTAAAAAATAAACTTCGATCCCTAGTTTACACCCTATTCGTCGAAGGAGGAAAAAAAGATATTTCTATTTCTTACGAACATGGGGGTTCCATTGTAGGAACTTTGATTCAGGTCATCGGATGTTCAATCAATGAAAACACGTTTCATGCTGCTTTAGGAATCGTTAGATATACAAAAACAGCTAGTTCTGATCATTGTTTCAGTCCAGGTTATTGGAAGGCGAACGAAAGTAGGATAGAGAACGCGTTGCAATATATGTTTTATAAGGATGTGATCAAGCGGATTTAATATAGTTTAGTAAAATTTTTTAAAATTTTATTCGCAAAGAAAAGATATCTTGAACATGCTATTGAGGAATGAAGTCTTTATTTATTATTTGATGCTATATTTCACAAAATCGGATGCTTCATAAATATTTGTGTAAGATTTAATGTAATAAATAAACGAGCTCAATTATATAATAAGCATTCGCTTTTATTTTTCAAATGCCGAAACATCGTGAGCCTGGTGTTTTATTTTATGGATTCGATTAAAAATATACGTGACTTTATGATATCGCGACTAAACCCGATGCCCGAGTAATTAAAAGTTCTTTTCTTCCTAAATATTGGAATATGTGAACACTTTACCGATTTTGTTAATTTCAAGGTTGGCATCGTCTTCGGAATTTTCGCATCGCTCAATCATGAAATTGCTTCGATTAAAATATTCTCAAGAAAGTCGGTGTCAAGGATTATCTGCCGGAATCGTTATATTCATTCAAAATTTCTGGGAAAATGTGTGTTTGAACATCTAGTCTCCATAATTTGTACAAAAAAAAAATTTTTATTTCCATAACGCTGATTGTGATGATTGACATCAAGAAGTTTTTGAATTTTTTTTTTTATTTCTTTATTTTAGTTTTTTATTTAACAAACAACAATATTCATTTCTTCTTTTCTACACTAACTTTTTGCGTCTCACCTCAATTCCCTCTTACCCAATACCTCTGCTTCATTTTCAACTATTATTTCGATTTTGGGGATAAATATGAAACGGAAGACGTCATTTTGGCACTATACCGGAGAATGTTCTTGAACGGGATCGAGTGAGATTATGTTATGAGTTGGCGAGGATTGAAGTTTCGTAGTTTGAAGGGTTAGGAAGGGTTCTTCACCTCCAGCATAAGGTTTATTACAAAAAATACTACCCTTTGATAAATTAGAGAAAAATCGTGTGGATTCGGGTGTTTAGAGTTAGTCTCAGAATAGTTTTAGAAGGTGGATAATTAAAAAAAAAAAATATTATGCTGAGCTGCGCTATTTGAAACTCAAGAAAATTGGACACTCTTATTTACGTGAAAGAATCTTGGGTTTTGTTTAATGTTTAAAGAAAAATTTAATAAATATCTTTAAGCCACATGATATGATACTACGATAAGAAAGTCATTATTTTACAAAGATGATACTTAATTGCTTTGCAAAAACAAAGTATTCCGGATCAAATTTGGCGGATCAGGATAAAATACGTGATGTAATTGGAATGGAAATGGGATATGAATTGGAATATAAACCATTCCATTAGAAACTATTATACCAAGATTCTGTACATTAATTTTCAATTAAAATATTGATTTCCAAATATTTTTTTAGATGTCAGGTCAAAATACAAGAAACTTGCTTTAAATAACTTTTCGAAAATTTTCAACTTTCCTAATTAGTTACTGCCTTTTTCCGCGTGGCTATTTGTTGGGTTACGACAACGAAACCGTCTCCTAGAACTACTGTATCCTATTTACGATATACAGTATATTAATACCTTCAACACTTGAAACTTACAAAACTTGAATGCAATTTTTTAAAATATTTCAATTTTTTATTCTCTACGTTATACAGCATAATCAGATCAACAATTAATAAAATATCGTCATATTACTACACGAAATAGGCGATCATTACCGATTAAATTATATACAAATTTACTAAAAAAAAAAAAAAAAAAAAAAATTCTAAATTTTTCAAAATGTCAGCACAATTTTTTTCAAACTTGAGGTCAAAATTATATTGAATTATTTTGATGATGATTGAATATTTTGATATAATGATTGAAGTTTGGTGAAGATTCTAATGTAAAAATATCCACTACCGTTCTCCATATTTTGACGAGTTTTGTCTTCAAATAAAAAAGAAATGAGAATGCAACGGAAATTTACGAAAAGCGTTCACAAGGATTTTGTTAAAACCCATATAGGATCACCAACAAAAAAAAAAATATCGAAATTCAGCTTTAAAACTGTAAGTATTGATAATTTGTTTTTTTTTTAAAAAAAATTAATAATGACATTAAATTATTTGACAGATTAAGGCGTGAATATCTATCTATCTTGGCACATTTGAAATTACCAAATATTTCACCAGGAAATTTTCAAACTATTTTAAAGTAGGTATATATAAATTCTAATACTAATTCCCAATTTTGATATAGTTATGGAGGTATCCATTCATTTAATGGGCGAGTCGTTTCGGAATTTCTTAATTTTCTGGATTACTATTTACCTTGATCAGGTTTTTTTTGTTTATCTTTTAAAGAATTTTTACGAAAAGCACGTCCATATAAAAAGCTTATAAGTTCGACAGATGAATTAACATATTATGATTCAAATTGTTCTTATGATCGAAAGTTAGGGGATACTAAACTAATCAATTTTTTATAGATGAGATGTTCCAAATAAATAGAGGTAAAATATCATAAATTTAATTGATAATCACGTGAATGTCTGAATGGTCGAGAATTAAAAAATTACAATGCATATTGATTTATTCATTATTAATTACTATATCAGGTTAGTGTAGTTTACTTTGATCACCTTATATAGACCAAAAAAAAAAGTTTCCTACTTTTTCAAATCTCCTCCCAAAAACAAAATATTTTCAAAAAATGTCTGCACAATTTCTATCAAACTTAAGTCAAAATTATATTGAATTATTGGATGACGATGAATATTACGATTTGAACGTGGAAGTTGGTGAAGTTCCTAATGTTAAAATATTCCGTGCTCATATGAATATTTTATGTTATCGTTCTCAATACTTGAGACGAGTTTTGTCTTCAAATAAAAAAAGTAATGATAATTTCTTGACATTTTTGAAATTACCGAATATTTCACCGGAAATATTTCAAATCATTTTAAAGTAAGAATTATTGATATATAAAAATAACATATATAATAATTTTTAATACTTAAATTCAATTCTCTCTTTTCGTAATTTAGATATATCTATGGTGGCATTCTTTCATTTAATGAGCAAGACGTTTCGAGCATTCTTAAAGTCTTGATAGCTGCTAATATACTATGTCTTCAGGAGCTAGTTTATTATTTGCAAAACTATTTAATTGAAAATAAATCCGGATGGATGGAGCAAAATTTTAATCATATTCACCAAACAAGCTTTCAATCTAATAATTTTCTAGAACTTCAACGATTTTGTAATGATGTAATAGCTAAAAAACCCGTCAAAGTGTTTAATTCACTTGATTTGCCTTTACTTTCTGAAGAGTCTTTAATATCAATCATTGAAAGGGACGATTTACAAATGAAAGAAATTGAAGTTTGGGATCATGTATTAAAGTGGGGTCTTGCACAAAATCCAACACTTTCTTCGAACCCCGCAACGTGGACTGATGATGATTTCAAAACAATGGAAAACACCTTGCGGCAATGTTTACCGTTAATCAGATTTTTTAGTTTATCTTCTAAAGACTTTATACGAGGAGTGCATCCATATAAAAGGCTTTTAAAAAAACAATTATATGAAAATGTAATAGCATATCACCTGGATCCGGAAATTCCAATATCCCATAAAATTTTACCTCCTAGATTTGGAAATTTGGATACAAAAATCATTAATGTAAATCTTATTTCCTTAATTTCAACTTGGATAGATAAAGTGGATTTTAATAATAGAGAATTATATTTACCATACAGATTTAAATTACTATTGAGAGGAAGTCGAGATGGATTCACACCTATAATATTTCACAAATTATGTGATGATAGACTTATGACAGTTACCTTCATTAAAATAAAAGGATCAGAAGAAATTATTGGTGGATATAATCCTCTAATATGGAAATCAACTGGTGAATGGGGTAAAACAAAAGATAGTTTTATTTTTTCTTTTAAAAATAAAGATAACTTTATCAAGGAATCGATTCTAAGTAAAGTTAAGAATTCTGATTACGCGATATATTATCACGAGGCGACCGGTCCATCTTTTGGATCCGATATTGTTATGTATTCAGCCGATAAACAAAAAGAATTTAATATTACTCATTGTCGAAAATATCATTATGAAAAAATGATAAGGAATACTAATTCATTTACTTTAGATGATTATGAGGTATTTCAAATAATTAGGTAGTAAGATTTCTGTTTTATTTGTTTTTTTATAAATTAAATTTTTTATCTTTAGATGAAAATAAAGTATATTAAAACATAGTTATTATTCCGTAAATTGAACTGGTGAAATATTTTATTTACACATAACGATAACTTGTTCCAATAAAATTGTCGGTATAAAGTATTTCTTTTTATTTGAAATATTAAAATATGCGTTCGATTCGATTAAGATGATCATATTTTTTTCAAATACCATTTAGAAGATTAACAATCATCTCATAAATTTAAATCGCATATAAACTTATACTATAAATTCAAATGTCAGATATCAGATATCATAGCATTATGTGTAATATCGATACCCACCATCACCGTAGATGATCAGCATTTAAAAATAGGTTTCTAGAAATAAATTGGTAATATTTTTTTAATATTTAAAACTATACTGACAATACTTACTGTAATTTATATCACTTCATCGCATATCACTGTATATATCATAATCGAATCAAAATGTTCATATTGATACTTAAGTTTACTTTTACGTATAATAATCAAGGGAATGCAATCATGGATAATTTCGGTTTGATGGTAAAACTTTCATATTACGTAATCACGTGAAATTTACATCACCGTTGTCACATCAGAAAATTTCCCAAAATGACGGTCGTGAAATTTTTTGATGGATACGATTATTGGAATTGTAGAGCAAAGATTATGATGATGATCGACACCACTTTCTCCCTTCTAACGACCACCAAATTTATTTTCATTTACCATCTTTTCTCTACACCTACTTTTTCTTCATTTGACAAATTATAACTACAGCAAGTCACGTGTCGTTTTGCACTTTTTTTTACATATTTAGCTGATGATATTATTCTTTTGCAATTTGAGACAAAATGTACTT